TAAGTCAGCTGGAAATAGATGACTGCCAGTTGTAAGCACAATACTACTCTCCCTTCTCTGAACAGAAGAAGAGGGCTGGGTTTGGATAAGAGTAGGATAACAGTTCTTATCTTCATCTGCAACATCTACCTTCTCCAAAATGACACTGTTGCCAACAACAACAACATACAGATTCTGGGATACATTAACAAGAGTGTTCTGAGCAAGACACAAGAAGTCATTCTTCCGCTCTATTCTGTGCTGATTAGGCCTCAATTGGTGTATCGTGTCCAATTCTGGGCATCGCATTTCAAGAAAGATGTGGAGAATTTGGGGAGGGTCCAGAGAAGAGCAACAAAAATTATTAAAGATCTAGAAAATATGACCTGTGAGGGAAGACTGAAAGAATCAGGTTTGTTTAGTTTGGAAAAGGGAAGACTGAGGGGGGACATGATAGCAGCTTTTAAGTACCTGTTACAAGGAGGAGGGAGAAAAAATTGTTCTCCTTGGCCTCTGATGATAGGACAAGAGGCAATGGGCTTGAGAGGTTTAGGTTGGATAATAGGAAAAAACTTCCTAATTGTCAGAGTGGTTAAACACTGGAATAAATTGCCTAGGGAGGTTATGGAATCTCCATCATTAGAGATACTTAGGAGCAGGTTAGACATCTGCCAGAGATGATCTAATTGGTACTTGGTCTTGCCGGGAGGGCAAGGGACTGGACTTGATGACCTCTCAGGGTCCCTTCCAGTTCTAGTGTTCTATGATGGGATTCTTTGTCTTTTTGGAAAACAATAAATATTGCTTTTCACCTTAATGCCTTGTATCAACATTACTTAAAAGCGTCAAGGTAGCATATCCCTAGCCAAACTGAAATGAACAAAATGAAACAGAAGAAACATGGCTCGGGCTTCTTCGGTTTCCTTTTCTCTGGAATCCCCCAGTTCCAACAGGATCTTTGACAGCTTAGAGAGGTTTTTGAGTTCAGTTAAATTCTTCTCATTATTCACTGGTTCTGAAATAAATTTCTTTCCCTCCCTGGTTTGACTGCAGCTCAAATCTCATTTTAAATGGTACCGTAACAATACTGACAGCCTCCCTTCAATGTGTTTTTGTTTTCAAAATCTGAGCTACTGCAGCGTACAACATAAGTACAGGCTCCAAAGCTGTTTTTTTTTCTTCTTCCTGAAGCAATTCAGTCATGTTTTAAGTGGAAATATTAAACCAACTGCAGCAGTAGTAGAAAAATGGTTGAATTAACCCTGGCTTAACTCCACTATTTGTATTAGTTAGCTGTTAAGTGCACTTGTAAAGTTATCTGGAAATTTAAAAGCTATTGCTACATTTAAAATGCCTTCTGTCTATCTTACCTCTAGGGAAAAATGAACAGAAGGTCTTTAACAATTATAGAGCTAAAAAGAAAGTAGCTGACTGAGCTGAGACTCTTGGTTTTAAAATAATAAAGTACTAGTGGGAAACGTTCATGCTTGTGGAGTTGTATTTAGGCTTTTAGGGTAAAAATTTCAAAAGCACCCATGACATAAGAACATTAATTTTCAATGATACATGGGTTCCTGTGTGTCAAATTCATTTGGGTGCTTTTGAAAATTGTATAAGTTGCCTCTGAAGGGTGCAATCGCAGAGGGTAACGGTGGATATCACCTCCTGTCTAGCAGAGATCACTGGCACACATGAAGATATTGCAGAAGCACAATGACAAATGTAGCATATTATATATTTTTGGATAGTTACATAACAGAAGTCTTGTTAGGCAGTGTTTTGTTTGCAGCTTGGCCTTATAGTTTAATATTTTCATGTGATCTCTTCCACACACAAGCTATGATTGGAACACATCAAGCCTGTAGTAAGTTGAGGGTCAGTAACATGGAGTCAACAGGCCTAAATAGATGCCTGTAACATGAAAACAGAAACAGGCCTGCAATCTAGTGAGCAAGACTTTGGTTCAGTAACAGGAGCCAAGAAAGAGGCCCTACTGATAACTGTGTAATTGTGTAAGTGAGGTAGAGCATGGAAGGACACAGGGAGGCACTGGGTACAAATTGTAAGCCAAAGGGGAGTAACGCAACATCTTAATAAGAAATGTCTTGGTACAAAGACTCCCTAAAAACTAATGCACATACCGACCTAGGTTCAGGACCGGGTCAAGATTGACAGCATGAAGGATAGTAAATACGCCCCCCTTCCATAAGGTGAGGGGTGGTAACTAGGCAACAGAGGGTGGCAACCAGGTACATAAAGAAATGATGTAAGTTGTTTGTACCTGTCTATAAAAGGACACCGCAAAAGGTGCTTTCCGGCCGACCTTGGGGTGGGGGCACACTAGGTGCCTGATCGGCAGGTGTCATTGCCTGAACTTACAGAATGCACAGTAGCTCAGCTTTGACTAACTGCTGTTAATATCTGAGGGTATGTCTACACTAGCTCGTTAGTTTGAGCTAGGTAGGCAAATGAGGACAACCAGAGTTGCAAATGAAGCCCGGGATTTAAATATCCCGGGCTTCATTTGCATCTTCCCGGGCGCCGCCATTTTTAAATCCCCCTTAACATTGTACTGATCTCTGTTACCAACTGGTAGAGCTTCGCATTTGACAATAAACCTGCTCGATTGATTTCAAACCTTGCCTGCATCTGTCGTTTCCGGGGCCTCTCAGAGATCTCCTGTGTTGACCCAAGTGCACGGGGTCTAACACTCTAGATAAAGGGAGCACCGATTGTTACGCACGCAGCCGAAAGTTCATCACCACCGACGGAATAGAGGTCCTGTCAGGAGCGCGCCAGGACGACCCTGACTAGACAACAGTGGCAGTTCAGACCACTGAAGGTACCGAGGTACAGAACACCGAGGTACAAAGCCCACTTAATTAGCTTCATTAATAGGAGTCCTACAATTGACAGGTACTTCTTTTGCTGTTATATATCCCTTGAATTCTGTTATTTCCACTCCAACTCATCTGATGAAGTGGGTCTTACCCATGAAAGCTCATGATCCTATATACTTCTGTTACAGGACAACTTCTTGTTTTTAAAGTTACAAACTACCACGGCTACCCCTCTGAAAGTTCCAAGGCTCCTTCCTTATTCCACCTGCTTGATTTTTTTTTCTCCTCCCTTAAAGATCCCACACAGGGGGTGCCAACCCAGAAATCAGGAGAGCTGGATCCTACTTCATTCTGCCACAGAGCTGCTCTGTGGCCATAGGCAAGTCACTGATCCTTTCTGTGCCTCAATTTCCCAAGCTGAAAGGCAGAGATGTCACTGTTTTCTAAAGCGCTTTGCGATCACCAGATGAAAAGTGCCATAGGTTACCTATTTTGGTAATTTGACACAACCACCCCTAATGCACATGTTAATGGCCAGACATGTTTGATCATTAGATGCACACAGCCATAGTATTGTTTGTTTGTGTCTTGGTAAATGAACAGAAAAGGAAGGCTCTTTGCCATACTAACTTAACACTGATAAGCTGTCTTTACGCTGAGCCATCCAGGAAAGACAAGGGCTGTGGTAAGGACTCTTTGGGCTACAGTGGGGCAGCTCCTTTCCTAGCAGGGACTCCATAAAGGCAGATTCAGGGCCCTACCAGAAAGAGTTGGAGGCAATGGCAAAGACATTGCCATGAATTTTCAATAATAATCTGGATGAGGAGGTGGGCTGAACCCTCAGCAAGACACTAAACTGTGGGGAGAGGTAGATATGCTGGAGGGTAGGGAGAGGGTCCAGTGTGACTTACACACATTGGAGGATTGGACCAAAAGAAATCGGATGAGGTTTAACACGAACAAGTGCAAAGTTCTGCACTTAGGACAGAAGAATTCCCAAGCACTTCTACAGGCTAGGACTAACTGGCTAAGTGGTGGTTCTTCAGGAAAGGACCTGGAGAATACATTAGATGAGAAGCTGGGGATGAATCAACTGTGTGCCCTTGCTGCCAAGAAGGCTAATGGCATATTGGGCTGCATTAGTAGGAGCATTGCCAGCAGATTGAGGGAAGTGATTATTCCCCTCTATTCGGCACTGGTGAGACCACATCCATAGTATATGTCCAGTTTTGGGTCCCCTGCTACAGAAAGGACGAGGAAAAAATTGGAAAGAGTCCAGCAGAGGGCAACAAAAATTATTGGAGGGGCACATGACTTATAAGGAGAGGCTATAAAAATGGCTTCTAAAATCAAAGTTCCATAGGATAGTGTCTCTTCTCCAAAAGGGACACAAGATTCCCCTTGTTTTGCTTTCTGACCAAACTTTTGCCATTTGGCAGAAGAGATATTAAAGAAACGTGAAGTTTCAAATAAAGCAGGATTCAGTGTCAGTGAACAACAGCAGGAGAAGTTTAACCAGGATGGACAGAAATGGTGTCCTTCGCCTGTGTTTGTCAGAACCTGGGAATGCAGGGAATGGATTGCCTGTTGATTAAGTGTTCCCTTTGGGGCACCTGGCATTGGTCACTGTCAGAAGTCCGGATACTGGGCTAGATTGACCTTTGGTCTGACCCAGTATGAACATTCTTATGCAAGTGATGAGAAGATGTGGCAAGACAGCAAACATTCCCCTTTAAATATTATATTCCAGGAGCAACATTTAGTCTATGCATTTACTTTATCTGTCTGCTGTTCCAAATCAGGTCTAAAATCATGCCGCCGGAGTATCTCATGCTAGGTCAGGACCTAAATCTGTGCTCTGTGCACAGAACTTCCATTACCTTCAACAGGATCTTGCTGCAATATGCTTCTTGGTCAACATCCTTTCTGGCCTTACCGAAGACCTACACACTTCTGGAGGTTTAAAAGATGGGAGGGGAGGATTCATTTCTTTAGCATGAATATTGTTTGTGCTCTGGATTTCATGCTTCTGCATTTCTGTTCTCCCTTGTGTGGTGGTAAATTGACAATGCCTCACTGGAGAGGGATGCAAAGATAAAGGTGGGCTTGGAAAGCAGGAGTGTGTGGAGTTCTGACAGCTGAACACTAAACCCTCTCAATTTCTTTTCCAGATTTTTTTTCCACAGCTCCAGAAGCTCTGCCTAACATTACTCCGAAGGGAGCAGTCAAGGTCCAGTGAAAAGGTAAGTTGCCAATCTCCCTTTGCACTGTGAAGGGCATCCTGTTATTGAAAATCTTCCCTCCCTCAGCCCCGCCTCGTGTGGCTTAATTCAGATTCAAGTTATTTTTGTTTTCCTTTGTGTGCTGCCATTAATCGAAATACTGGTTACAAAGCACTGGAACAAAATTCTGGTGCTTGTGGCCGGATTGCCGCACTAATCAAATGCATAATATTGCTTTGTACTACTCAGCCATTGATCAGCATGATTTGCATAGGTGCTGAGAAACAGGGTAATGCTGCAGCAGGATTTTACAACACTTCTTCCCGCCTGCAGCAATCTGCAATAGAGGAGAATGGGCTGTAAATCAGAGAAGTGGAAAGAGGAATTCAGATGAGTATTGCAAAGTTTCCAGATGCTCCATGAAAATATTTTGTTCCCTCAGGAGAGGAAGGTGGGAGAAAGGAGGAAGTTTAGCCTCAGAAGAGATTAGCTCTGTGGTAGAACTGCTACCCCTGAAATTTCAAGATACCTGTTCTGAGCGCTTGGATAAGTGGCCATTAAATCTCGGTGCATTATTTGAGCACAGAGCCTATGTAGGAAAAGCCCTTGTGTGTTCTGTGGGGCTGTGAGCATTGCCTACCCCAGCGGTTGAGAAATCTGGAGTCAAGCTCCCTCAAATCATGTGTTTGTTAAGCCTTTTGGTATCTGCACCGTTAGGTTGTCCTTGGATCAGGTTTCTAGATTTGTCTGCACTCAAAAGGGCTAGAAATGTACTTTTTTCTTTAATGAAAGCTGAAATCCTTACCAAATTCCACAATTCCAGGACAAAGCAACAGCTATCGTGAGAGCGGGCAGCACTGAATGCATGTTTATACACACAAGCAGAGATCTGCACCTGCACACACACATATGCCTTTTGTTGCAGCCAGACGGCAAAACTAGCTCAAACCCTCTCAAAGCTTAAGAGTAATTATGGAGCATGGACAAGCATCATCAATTTGCTCCATTATGTTCTGAGTTGAAGTATGTTTCTTAACGTGAGGAAGTTTGCATCTCTGGTCAGCGGATGTGTCGTCTCCAGTGGAAACAATGCACCTGCCTTGACCTGATTTTGCATTTTTGTTCTACAAGGTTCATCTGGTCTCCTTGAAATAGGACCAGCTGTTCTAGCAGAGAATAAAAAAAAAACCAGGCACCATTACTTTGAGTAAGAGCGTGCCATTAAAATCAGTCTCTGGAAACACTGCAGCATGCCAGGTAACTACTATTACTGCATCAAGGTTGCAGTGGAAAGTGGTTTCATGGAAAGTGAGGTCTCGAAACCACACTACCCTCTAGTGGCAACTGATTCTCATATAAACGAATAAGCAAAGCTTTATGATGCCGTTTCCTAGTGCTGTTGGGAAGATGAAAATGCTAATCTTGGCTACTGAAGCACCCCAGATTTACCCCAGCATAAGAAAGGTCAGAATCTGGCCCTTTGAATCAAGGCCATGATTCAGGGAGCCTTCCTCTTTACACAAGGTTCACACACTTTCTGGAATGCAGATGGGTTTCTGGCCTGCTAAAATAACATGTGTTAGGAGATCCCATAAAAGCAGCGTTTAGCTTCTCTGCTAAGGCCTCACCCTTCAGTGACTCCCGGGCGTTAAAATAAATTACCCCTAACAGAGTCAGGAAGGGTCGTTTTACACCAGGCTGTTTCATTTCATATTCCTTCAGGATTTCCTCCAGTTAGATATTCCCAGCACCCCTAGAGCCCTGTGACAGTATCTGATGCTGTTTGCAAAATGAATTCATGGTCTCCTCATCACCGATCAAAGCCTGTCCTCTATTAACACTGGCTGCAAGTGTCTGGAGTCAGGCCAAAGACTGAATAGAATCTCCTTATTTCTGGGGCGGGAAGGGGATCACTTTTGCGGGGGCCGGGAGGCACTTCACAAATTTTGATGTGGTTGTGGGCTGGGCCCCAAGGAAGGGGCAGAGCCTCAGGTAGAAGGGGCTGGGGCTAGAGAGAGAGCGTGTGAGTGAGAGAGAGAGAGAGACGCTTTGTGTGAGAGGCAGTCTTTGTGACAGATTGAGTGTGTGTGGCACAAAGTTTGGGAGCGTACATGTGGCAGTGTGTGTGTGAGACATGTTTCTGAGACACACCACGCTCTGTCTCTGAGGGAAATCTGTTCCGCTCGGTCTCCCCTCACTTCCTCCCCTTCTGCACTCCTATGGGTCACATGCTTCTGACAGGAGCAGCTATGCTGACTATCTCCCCTTCTGTGATCCCCGCTCTGCAGAGATGGGGTACAAGGGCAGGGGGACACCCTGACTTCAGCTATCCCCTCTCCCATCCATCCTCCCCCTCTGCTCTGCACAGCTAGGAGACTCCTGGAAGGAGTGAGGGGAGGGGCAGCTGAACACACACTGCAGGCTGTAAGTTTGCACGCTCCGCTAATCAGCTGGGTGGGCTGGAGAGAAATGCTTGGTGTGCCGAATCCGGCCCCCAGGCCTGAGTTTACCCAGCCTGACTCATTCTTTGAGGTTGTTTGCCCTATACCAGGGCTACAATGCAGTGGCGGAATGGAGCTATGGGGGTCGCTTGCAGGGACTGTGCTGTGTCTGGTGTAGACAGGAGCTCACTGTTTCAAGCCCTGCTCTGTCCCCAAGAGCAGCCCTGGAATGCAGGCTGCTCCCTGGCTGATCTACAGCACGGAGGGCTCTCTCCAGCAACTCGGTGACCCACCAAGGTAAGGCCTAGTTTGCAGTTATCACTAGCCCTTGGGAAGGGGTAGGGCACAGCTGGCATGGAATGAACGGTGACTCCATTCCCCTTTTGCTGCAGGGAGGAATTGAGCTGCACCAGCATCGTTCCTGGCACAGTTCATGCTGAGTCTTGGCTGCACTGGCTGTTTTTTTAGGAGGAAGGGTGGGGTCAAAGCCAAGGCCCTGCCCCTTTCCTGCCTGTCTGCCCAGCAGAGCAAATAGCAACCCGGCGGTAACTGTTTTCCCCACTATGCATGGAGCAGCAGTGTGGGTAGGAGGAATGTGAAGGGTGTCTCACCTCCATCGCTCCCAGCTTGGGCAAGGAAGGCAGCTCAGGACTGAGCCCAGATCAAGTTTTATACCACTCAGGTCTTTCCCACCAGCATCTCTTCCGCCTGCCCACGCGCCATCCTCCTCAGTGGCCAAGTATTTTCCCACCACTAACCTAAACCCATGGTTAACTGGGAATAATCTGCAAAATTGCTTCATAAGACCCTGAATGTGAGGTGCTTTCTACACATCACACAAAAAAGGGGAATGTGCATCATGACGTAGCCTGAAAGCGGAACGAGGGAGAGAAACACAGGCGGAACACACCAGACAAACTAAAGCAATGACATTTCAGCCCCAAGGTCTTCGCCAGGAAGGATTTGTAAGGGAAATGAATGGACTGGAGAATTCACACTGCTCCTTTCTTCTGGGGTATTTACCTTTTTTAAATAGGACCTTCCCCCAAATACTCAAAAAGAACAGGTTTGTAAGCAACAATCAATGTGAGCAGCATGAAAATAAACTTCCTTTGCATCTGGATCTGACAGACCCACTTGCTAGCTGGTCTTAAACTACCTGATAAGACCAGTGTTCAGGATCTTGCCGCATGTAAAGCATTGGCAGCAATTTTTCCTCTAATTTTTTCCATCTGGTTGCAGAATAAATTTTGTTGCTTGCACTAAGGCATGTATGGATGTGCACCACCGGGAAAAATACATGCTGCCAGCTGTAGGCACTCTGCTAATCATCTGGGTGGCATTTGAATCTCTCTTAGCTGGGCTGTCCAAGTGCTCAGCTTACGGGGAACACTGATTGGCAGTAACCGATTAAAAACAACTGTTGCCGGACGTTTACAGGACTTAGGCCATAGCAGGTAAAAAGCTTCCCCTTCACTATTTTTTGTGTTTAACTATTTTTTATATGATACTTTGCAAATCCTCCACTGGTGTAAATTGGCATAGGTCCATTAACTAAAGTCAAAGGATGTTTTTTGGGTTTATACCAATGGAGGAAGTCAGTGGACCGATGTCTGTTTACATGAGCTAAGGATATGGCCCATATCATGCTATAGTAATACTCAGTGCTACCTAGTTTGAAAGAGCATCCAACTTAACTTGGAAGCTTCTACATACAATGAAGGGAGTTCTGTTTGTCCATGTTAGCAAGGTCTTTATTTGCAACTATCTAGCTACTTTCAGCTCCTTCCATCCATCACCAACTATAATATTCCTCACAAGTAGCAATGAGTCATTGTTGGCAACTTGCTTCCATCTGCAGCAGCCGGGAGCAGGTCAGATATTTCAAGAAGTTATTTTCACATGTTACCATGGAAATAAATGCATATTATCTTGTAATGCTTGAAAAACAAAAAATTAGTACAAATCTTATTTAATTAATAAAAAATATTAACCCAAACAGGGAAAAGTTTTGAAAAGCAACAATGACTCCAAACTGGAAACCTGCTGGGAAGCAAAGGAAAACCCATCTATCCAGCTTTGCCTAAAGAGGACTTTTGTCCTAAACATATTCAGGAATGGATGGGAGCGGCTCATGTAAAATTAATAGATTGTTCTTTCTTAGCAGCCAGCAGATCCTTCTGAAAGGCTCGGGGCATAAATTCATCGTCTGCTGAGGCAGCGCTGTTGACAACAAGACATGCATCACTTCTTGTGTTCTGCACAACGTAAGTAGCACAACCATGATACTTTTTAGCATCTCCACTAATTTCCCCTAGTGAAAAACATAATAAAATCTAATCAGAGAAGGTTTCCATGCCTGCAAACTCTCCACACTGCATTGTGCAACCTCACCCAGTCTTTCAAACAATAGCTGTCTCCTCATTAGTGTCTAATACCCATCTTCAAATTGTCTCTCACCATGCCCCAGCCTCTCTAGGTAGCCAAAAGATACAGGAACAGAGAAATTATCGAGCTGCAAAAACTTTTGGGTCCCAATAATCGGCTCCATCCTTCAGGGACCAGCTAGATGGAGCGAGGGGCTGTCCATCAGGGATGGACTTGACCTCCAGAGGATCCTTGCAGTCCTAGGATTCTATGATTCTATTTCTTTTTGGTGCAATTTGAAACAAACAGAGAGCACCCCTTCTTCAGTTGCTGTGTTCAAAGGTATTTAACCGCCCCTTTTCCAACTGGCTGGGGGGGGACCTTCTTCAGTTGCTGTGTTCAAAGGTATTTAACTGCCCCTTTTCCAACTGGCCGGGGGAGGGGGGGTAGGAGAAACTGCTGCCTCCACAGTCGGCATCAGTGACGATGCTTCGGCAGGCATCGAGGAAATGCTATCGATTGGGAGGGTCTGGTGCACTCCATTCTGCTGTGGGCTAGCACAAAGAGGTCCCATGTTCTCTATGGCAATCGGGACCGACATTCTACAGCAAGACCCCACCACCTGTGTGTGGTTTCCTACTGCAGCAAACTGGAAATCCGGCAGCAGCTGCAAGCAACCGGAAAGGTTGAGTTTTTTGCTGAGTTTAATTGGTCACTAAATAATTGCCGTCCTTCAGGTACCCATTTTATGTTTATATTCCTTTTAACCCAAGCCTCTGTCTACATTCTCAGTGATTGGTATGCTACAGAATTGTACATCAGCAGTACATAACTCCTCTGCACAAGCGGCAAAGGGAAAGCTGGAAGCTTTGGGAGTCAAATAAGGCACAGATGTGACTCTAGCAACCCAGAAGTGGAGAGAGGCAATTTGGGATAAGCTCAGTAGCTACTTATTTGTGGTTAAGGTGATCAGCAGTGAAACAAAAAAATTATTGATTAAACTTTCATTATTAGGTTTCAGAGTTGACGTCCTGCTGAGGTGAGTAAGACAGTTCATACTCAGTTATTGTTTCAGGATGCTTGGTGACTCAGGAAGACCTCACTGTATCAGTTTATATTAAGATTGTCTTCAAACTATAAGGGCTAGAGACTTAATTTTCCCTTAAAAGGAAATATTACATTTAGGAGCACAATTCCACAGCAAGGTAGATTCTGACACACCAATATCCTTACTAACCACAATTTCTTTTCTCTTGAAACTTGGAATTTCAGAAGAACAGCCATACTGGGTTAGACTAGTGATCCACCTCACTCAGTATCTTGTCTTCCAACAGTGGCCAGCACCTGATGCTTCAGAAAGAGTGAAGAGAACAAAGCAATTTATCAAGTGATCTGTCTCCTCAGGTCTAGTCCTAGTTGCTGGCAATCAGAGATTTAGCATCACTGAAAGCATCCCCAAACATCTTGGTGAATAGCTGATGGTCCACCAATGGACCTATCATCCATGAATTTATCTAAGGCCACGTCTTCACTTGCCACACCACAGATCGATCTTCTGGTATTCGATTTAGTGGGTCTTAAGACCCACTAAATCAAATGCTGAAGGTGGCTCCGGTTGGTGCTGATACTCCTTGTAGCCGCGAGAAGTAAAAGGAGCCGATGGGAGTGTTTGCTCCTATCAGAGCAAAGATGGCACCAAGCTTGAGTTAAGGTAAGCTAACTACAGCTATGTATTTTATGTAGCTGGGGTTGTGTACCTTAACCTGACCTTCCAGGTCTACTGTAGACTTGGCCTAATTCTTTTTTTTAAACTTAGTTATACTCGGGTCCTCACAACATCCTAATAACAGCATCCTCATCTTAATTAGAATCATTATCTGTAAAATAAGTGAAAAAAATAGCAGCACCATTAGCATCAGCTTTCTCTCTAGTCTCCTGTCAATGCACAATGTAATGATTCAATAAGACTTAATCAGCACCTGTGGCAACAAGACATCGCTTAAATGTTTCTGGTGTTTGTGCTCATATTTCATATGCTTCAGGGAGATTTACGGAGCCAAACACCTTGTCTTCTTACTAAAGTTTCACTTCCTTAAATGGTTTTTCAATTTTGTGACTGTCTACAAAATGTAAAAAAAGCTTATGAAAATTAATCACAAATATTAGCACAGTCTAAGGTACTTACCTGACTCCCTCACTGTAATATTTGAGCACCTCACAAGCCTTAATGAATTTATTCTCACAACAGCCCTGCTATTTTGCAGATGGGGAACTGAGGCACAGAAACACTAAGTGACTAACCCAAAGCCAAACAAGCAGTCTGTGGCAGAGCAGGGAAATAAATCTGGTCTTGAGGCCCAGGTTAGCACTTTTGGCATTACACTTTTTCCCCTCTTTAATATTAGGAGATATTTGGTTCCTTATTTGGGAGATTTTTGCTCCATACCTCCTTCCTTTACCCCTTTCCATACTTGAGCTGAAGGAGAATCAACATTAAGTACAAAGCTTATTATTAATAGGGCTTATGCCCTGTGTAGATCTTTAGCCACCAGACATGTCACAGTTTTTATGGTGGGGATGCTGAGAGCCTTTGAACCAAACTCTAAACACTGTATTTAATGAAATCCATATCAAGCCGGGGGAAGGAGGGTACACAACCTTTGGACCACTGTTTCTAGCACCTATACTAGCCACTTCAGCAGCGTATGCAAACCATCAGCCTGGCCAGAAGATCTGCCCACCTGCTGTACAGTGATGACAGGGGTATGGGTTTTGTGTTGGTCATGGAAGTCATCAGATTTTAATCATAAAAATACCCACCCATGGTGAGTACGCACATCAGATTTTTGCAGACCTGCACATGAGGGTGACCACGATCATCAGCACTTGAGTACGTTTGATGCCAAGTTTACGGCAGAGGTGCTCACACACACACAGTAACAGGTTGACTAGGGAGCAACTCCCATTGACAATGAGAAGTTATACAAGTACCTCAAGAGGAGACACACCCTTCATCCCTGGGAGAAAAAAACCAAATCCCCAGCAATGGCAGGCCATGTAGAAAGACAACAATAAGCGGAAAGATCTAGAGGCATTCCCACCACCTTCCTCTTAATGCTTTAGCATCCATTTAAATTGTTGACTATGCCAATATCAGGGAAAACAGATCACTCCGCACCATGGTTACCTACTGTTTTAACTACTGGATGGCAAATGGTTAAGGAGTCCAGAAGGAACAACTTGACCGTCACTAGCCAATTTCTTCCAGTAAGACTAGAAAGGTTTCATCGAACACAGGTGTTTGAAGGTTTGGTTGGCTTTGTCTGAATGTCTGAGGGAACAGATAAAGTATCTGTCTTTGTTCTTCATTACACTTATCACTGGTAGGCCACATCTATACTAAATGGAGGATTGGCGCTGCAGAGATTGATCTTCCAGCATTCGATGTAGCGGGTCTGGCAAGGACCTGATAAATGGAATGCTGACAGTGCCCCCTTCGATTCCGGAACTCCTCGCAGTTGTGAAGAGTAAGGGGAGTCAATGGGAGAATTTCTCCTGTTGACCTCCCACTGTGGGGACGCCAGAGAAATTTGGCTTAAGTCAGTCAACTCCAGCTGTATTATTTATGTAGCTTAAGCATATCTTAAGCTGACCTTTGGGGTTAGTATAGACCTGCCCATTACTCAACCAAGGTTATTCTCCATACAGATTCTTCAGGAGCCAACTCAGCAGCCCAGTGAGATACAACAGCTGTTTGCCCAGGGGACACAAATTTAGATCCCAAGCCACCGAGCTGAGAAGCACAGTGGAGGAAGTGTTCCGACCCGGGAGCAGGAAGTCAGTACCTGGCTTTGATCCGATGGGGGTTGTGATGCTGGAGGAATCCAGAAGCAGTGGGGTCTGGCTCGTCTACTCAATGGGCCGATCTCAATAATGCAGAGACTGTCCTGAATACAAATACAAATCGTGCCCCTTAACACACTCTCCCTTTTCTGGGAAAGTTTGAAAGCACATTAGAATGAGTTTGGTTCCTACCTCTATCAGGGAGCCCACCCGAAACCATCTAATTTGGAATGTTTGGATCCAGATCTTTACTTTATGGCACTACAGTAATTGATTCTTATTAAGTGGAGAAAACGTATATCGCTCACCTCGTTCCCCATGGTAACAGCTTTAATATCTCCCTTTACTCGCTCCTCTCATCACTAGGATTGTCCTCCATGGGCTCCATTTTTAGAGTTTCATAAATAGCTGGTTCTTCGCCATAATTCAAATCTTGATTTAAAAGAAGAAAAGAAATAAAAAAAAGCAAGTATCAAGTGGACTTACGTTAATGGACTAAATCTTGATTTGTTGGCATTCCATTGGTTCTGATATGGTTTAAAACTAAGACTGAACAACTGGGAGTCAGGACACACCGGTTTCATTGCTCAGCTTGCTGGTGAATCCTCTGTAATCCTGGGCAAATCACAACTGCTCTGCACCTCTCTTCTGCAAAATGGGAAAAATAATCTTTTATCTACTTGACAGAAATGATGAGCCAGAACATTCATAAAATGCTTTGAGATCTCAGGATGAAGGGTGCTGGAGAAATGCAAGTACAGGTAGCTCCTCCCTTAGCTGGGACTCCCTGGTCTGGCAACATCTATGATCCAGCAGGACCATGGATATTCCTGGATCACAGAGCCTAGGAAGAGGGAGGTCTGGCAGCGGGGCAGGAACACCTTGAGTGGCACCAGCAACTCAGCTGGGAGCCCAGAGTGGGGTGGGGGAGGGAGGATGGATGGCATGGTGGGGAGTTCTGGCCCAAGCAGAGCTCCGTGGCCCCAGTGAATAGGAAGCTCTAGCCTGGCTGTGGTCATGGATCTCTGGCCCCAGCCAGGGAGCTCCGGCCCCAGTTGTAGCCATGGAGCTCTGGCCCCATCTCTGGATGCCGAGCTCCGGCTGCGTCCTGGCTCCAGTGGCCGGGGAACTCCAGCCTCAGCGGTGGCCAGGGAGCTCTGGCCCCAGCTATGGAGCTTCAGCCCTGTCCCTCCACCCCAGCTACAGAACTCCGGCCCCAGCCATGGAGCCAGGTGGCTGTAGAGTTCTGTCCCAGCTGTTAGCCAGGTGGCTGTGGAGTTCTGGCCCAGCTGTGGAGCCAGGTGGCTGTGCAGCTCTGGCCATGGCGCTCTGGCCCCTGCAGTAGCAGGGCCAGCGAGAGCCCCAGGGGGCTGAGGCAGCAGCAGGGGCAGGCTGGAGTCCTAGCCTAGTGGCAGCATGGCCATAGGGGCAGGGACCTTCCCTGGTCTGGCAAATCCCCTCATTCAGGACCAGTCAGGTCCCAAGGGTGCTGGACCAGCAAGGTCCAACCTGTATACCCTTGTGAATGGGAGTCACAATTGCAATGGTTTGACATGCTGCCATGACAAAGATGTTTTGGGGCCAGAATGCTAATGACTGCTGTGGAACAACAGGACTTCCAGTCTCCTGGTAAGAACAGGACGTCAGTGCTATCTGGAAATGGGTGACAGGGGAGGGATCATATGACGATTACCTGTTGTGTTCCCTCCCTATGGGGCATCTGGCCTTGGCCACTGTCGGAAAATAGGATATGGGCAAGATGGACCGTTGGTCTGACAGTTTCTTCTTTCCATCTTTCATTGTGATCTCAAAAGGGTAACAAACTTTCGCATTGGACAAACATCTCAGACACTTCGCCAAAGGATTAATGCCCACAAAACAGATATCAGACAAGATCACAAAGAGAAAACAGTTTCTTGCCACTTTAACCAGAAAGGACACTCTCTAAATGACTTAGCCACCTGCATTCTGCTACAAAGACCTTTTACATCTGCACTTGAAAGGGAATCCTCTGAACTGTCATTCATGTTAAAATTCGACACTTACCAACAAGGACTTAACAAGTCTTTGAACTTTCTCACCCATTACCAAGACAGTTTCCCCAATTATCACCTGTAATACCATTAACTCACAAACATCCCACTCTCCCTACCTTTAATATCAGCAATTCACAGACACTTACCTTCCTTCCTCCCCCTTCCCACCCCCCCGCATCCCCCTTCTGTTCTGCAATGTGATTTGTCCTTTTCATATTTGTTCATTTTTTTAAATTGTATCCTTTGGTATTGTCTAAGCCCCGCCCCTTCCATGTCTGCTCAGCGCTGTTCCCATGGTTTGGTCATTTTCTCTCTGCCCTTTGCACTTGTCTGGCCTAGCATGAGTCATGTCCTATCAGAAGAGTGGTAGAAATGTAGCCCTGTTAGTCTGGTGTAGTTGAAGCAAAATGCAGGACAATGTAGCACTTTAAAGACTAACAAGATGGTTTATTAGATGATGAGCTTTCGTGGGCCAGACCCACTTCCTCAGATCAAAACCGTCTTGGTAATGGGTGAGATAGAGACAGTTTCCCCAATTATCACCTGTAATACCATTAACTCACAAACATCCCACTCTCCCTACCTTTAATATCAGCAATTCACAGACACTTACCTTCCTTCCTCCCCCTCCCCCCCCCATCCCCCTTCTGTTCTGTAATGTGATTTGTCCTTTTCATGTGTGTTCGTTTTTTTTAAATTGTATCCTTTGGTATATATGGTTGTGCCAATTTTCTTTCACTATTTGATCTGAGGAAGTGGGTCTGGCCCACGAAAGCTCATCATCTAATAAACCATCTTGTTAGTCTTTAAAGTGCTACATTGTCCTGCATTTTGCTTAAACTTTCGCAGCTTGTGCCTTGCGTACCAACTGCACCTAAAGAGCATTTCTATAAATAAGCCTCCACAAGTTCGGGCAACCTCTAAGATTTGCTATTGGCACTGTTAAAAATTAAAAAACCCCAAACAAACCTCTATCATCCTGATAAAGGAAAAGACTTAAAACACGTAGGACCAAATTTTCCAGCCAGTGTAAATCGGGATTGTTTCCCTTACAGCTGAGGACCAGGGCCATATGACTTGTCCTCTTTGATTATGCCAAGTTGAACAAAACACTGGCCATACTAGGTTAGACCAAAGGTCCACCTAGCCCAGCATCCTGTCTTCTGGCAACTGCTACTGTCAGAACAGGGAAATTATCAACTGACACATCAACCTATCATCTAGTCCCTGATTCTGGCAGTCAGAGGCTAACAGACACCCCCAGCACAATGTTGCATTCCTAACTACTTTGGCAAATAGCCATCGATGGTCCTGTCTTCCACAAACTTCTCTAGTTCTTTTTTTGAACCCAGTTATACTTTCGGCTTTCACAATTTCCCCTGGCAATGAGTTCTACAGGTTGAATTTAAATCGCATGAAGTAGTATACTTCCCTATGTTGTTTTAATTCTGCTGTCTATTAATTCCATTGAATGTCACCTGGTTTTTGTGAAACGTGAAGGCACAAATAACACATTTACCCCTTCACTCCATGACATAAAAAATGGAAAAAGTAAATAATTTGTACACCTACTGCATCTGCAAGTAGGTGGTGGTATTTTGGAGTCAGAACCAATACTTTGTCCATATACATGTGTTGGGACCAGGAAAACAAGGCCTGGTCAACGTTATGCTAAGGAAAGTTAGCAAAGGCTAATCACGGAGGCCTCTGGGTATTTTTGACCAGAAGCAGAAATGTGGTTCAAACAGAGGCGCACCCTCCATGCTGGCTTAGGTTATAAAGTAAGATGAGTGATAAATTATATATTTGTACCTACTGTAAGTAGAATGGCTTGCTTTGGGAACTGGTCTGTAACTCCCTGTTTTTGTTCCTCTTCGCTAATCTTACCTCCCTATTTTTGCCCTTTGTTTGTACCCGACTCTTTTGTCTCCTTGTTCCTGGTACCTGCCTTTTGTGATTGATAAGAAAGTTACTGATGCATTATGAAGCGCTTTTGGCCACAATGTATAGTTGGCTAAGATATGCATAGATATTAAAAGTTTCTAGAAAGGGGGGTAAGTGGCTTGGGTGAAGAGCTTATGACGCGACGGAACTGTCTTTATAAGCCTACCTGTTACTAAAATCGGGGCTGGTTCTCTTTGGAGACGGGCCGCTCTCTATTGTTGTGTGCACTCTTCAATAAAGAGCTTGTGATTGGACTTTGCTGGTGTTGCCTGTCTCTTTGCGGTCAGACAACGAACCGAGCCGTCTGGGTTAGAGTCCCTGACAACAGGGACACTCAGCAAAGGTAAGGCAAATCAACAAAAGGTGAGAAGTCAATTCACAAAATTTAAACTCATATTAAACTCTTGAGTGGGTGCTCTTAGTCACCCAATTTGCTGCAACTTAATCCTCCATTGACAAACCTGTATTTTTAGTCCCTTGGTCATCCAGAACTAAGCGTCAGGCAATTGATTAGCGATAAAAACGAGAATAAACATGCTGCTTACACAGACTTTTCTCAGTCAGCTACAAGGACACTGCTACTGGCTTTTCACCTGAAACCCCTTAAGGGCTCCCAGGTTGGTTATTCATTTCGCACCATTCAACACTCTAACAAGTTACACCAGTCATAGCAGGTTTAAATCTTTTTCTCTTTAGTTTAATAAGCATCTCCCTCCTGTTCTGCAATGTGATTTGTCCTTTTCATATTTGTTCATTTTTTTTAATTGTATCCTTTGGTATATATGGTTGTGACTACTTTCTTCCACTATTTGATCTGAGGAAGTGGGTCTGGCCCACGAAAGCTCATCATCTAATAAACCATCTTGTTAGTCTTTAAAGTGCTACATTGTCCTGCATTTTGCTTAAACTTTCGCAGCTTGTGCCTTGCGTACCAACTGCACCTAAAGAGCATTTCTATAAATAAGCCTCCACAAGTTCGGGCAACCTCTAAGATTTGCTATTGGCACTGTTAAAAATTAAAAAACCCCAAACAAACCTCTATCATCCTGATAAAGGAAAAGACTTAAAACACGTAGGACCAAATTTTCCAGCCAGTGTAAATCGGGATTGTTTCCCTTACAGCTGAGGACCAGGGCCATATGACTTGTCCTCTTTGATTATGCCAAGTTGAACAAAACACTGGCCATACTAGGTTAGACCAAAGGTCCACCTAGCCCAGCATCCTGTCTTCTGGCAACTGCTACTGTCAGAACAGGGAAATTATCAACTGACACATCAACCTATCATCTAGTCCCTGATTCTGGCAGTCAGAGGCTAACAGACACCCCCAGCACAATGTTGCATTCCTAACTACTTTGGCAAATAGCCATCGATGGTCCTGTCTTCCACAAACTTCTCTAGTTCTTTTTTTGAACCCAGTTATACTTTCGGCTTTCACAATTTCCCCTGGCAATGAGTTCTACAGGTTGAATTTAAATCGCATGAAGTAGTATACTTCCCTATGTTGTTTTAATTCTGCTGTCTATTAATTCCATTGAATGTCACCTGGTTTTTGTGAAACGTGAAGGCACAAATAACACATTTACCCCTTCACTCCATGACATAAAAAATGGAAAAAGTAAATAATTTGTACACCTACTGCATCTGCAAGTAGGTGGTGGTATTTTGGAGTCAGAACCAATACTTTGTCCATATACATGTGTTGGGACCAGGAAAACAAGGCCTGGTCAACGTTATGCTAAGGAAAGTTAGCAAAGGCTAATCACGGAGGCCTCTGGGTATTTTTGACCAGAAGC